ATATGATTAAGTAAGTGTTTGTAATGTGATAAGAGATTGTGAACTTGTGAACGGTGGTTGAGTTACGTGGTGACAAATTAAGCTGAAACCAGGAGGGGAGGGGCACTATTTAAAAATAGCGCATTTGCTTTTTTATCTATATAAAATTGGGTCGTCCCTAAATGACGTTACACTCGTAGGGCGAAAGGGAATCCATAATTTTGTGACGGTGTGTGATTGTGGGGGGAGGGGTTCAGATGGTGTGATGTCACACTTTTGCACTTTAAAAAAGCAATGTTACAAAACGCGAATTTTGACCGTTATTTCGCGTTTCAGAAAACTGTTTTAATAAATTGTAATAGGAATTGATTAAAACGCTCTATGTTGACAGAGTTCAGACCAGATTTTGAAAAAAATATCAATGTTTTAAGAAAAATTCAACTTAACTTTTGAGGGGGGGGGGGTGGAGGCTGAGATTGACGTCATTTTATGGGGGGGGGGGGGGGGTCTGGCTTTTTGTGATGTGTGACGGAGGAGAGGGGGGGGAGGTAAAAATCGTAAAAAAGGCGTGACGTCATTTATGGATGACCCCAATGAAACTGATCGTTTGTATTTAGCAATTATAATTTTAAAAATCATTTGGTAATCTCACTATATAGCGTCGGAAATTATCCGGTAATGTTTTTGAGTTTCGTAAACATTCGTAAAAATAACTTGAAGATTTGCGACAACTAAATCTAGGCCTAGCAAAATAAAACGATTAGATCTACTAAAGAAGTAAGAAGGACTAGAACAATGTCTAGTAGTAGCAATAATTAGCATTTACACTTAAAATAATTAAAAATACAAAATAATTAGCAAAACAATATTTAAACATTATGTATTAAAATACATAGCGCCAAATAAAAAACATGATTTACAGTACTTCAGGGGGTTTCCGGAACGGTGTGACAGATTCCGCCATGGTTTAACTATTTTTTACTGCTATATTTTTACCAATAATTTTATATATTTTATTGCTTTAAATGTTTAGGAAAAAAGAAAATAAATCTACAACCATCAAGAAAGATGTAGGCCTATGTCTAATATATGATCTAAGTCAGAGAATCGTAACACACGCCCAGCGAGTACACTGCCACAGTGATATTGGTACTGCATTCCCTTCATCTGGCTTATAAATTTACTTGCTCCCTCTATTGATTTTACCATTGCTAGTCCGACGGCTCGGCCTTCTTAACCTAGTTTCTACTCGGCTCAACATTATCCAAGACCACTACATCTTTGTCCTTCAGACTTTTTTTTTTTGTGGAGGTGGGAGGGGGTATGTGGTGGAATCTGAAATTTCGATGGAAAAAAAAAGTTACCTTGGTAATAGACGGAACCCATTTCACCTTTACCGTAAATATAAACGTATTTAATAATTTTAAAAAATCGACTTTACAATTATCCTCTTCTAAGTTCTATCACCCCCCCCCTCCCAACACACAGACCTTTCGTATACGCTATTCAATATCACCAAATTATTGTTTACGCTTTACTTTGATTAAAATACAGTATTAAAAAATCTTACTGATATCTATTTGATTCCATAAGTTCATTAGGAAAAAAAAAATGCCCAACAAAATGAATTGGAAGAAATTCCGGCTAGAACAAAGGTCTAAATATCTGGGTAGTTCTCACTTTGTCCTGGGTACGCGCTTACTTAGAACATGTAAAAAACAAGTTAATTAAAAAGTCTAGTGACAATTTTAGCGCAATTTCCTTATGTTATCTAAAAATAGCTCTGTCGTAGCGTAAATCAAGAGCAGGGTTAGTAAAACCATTGGTTAAAATACATGTTTTATTTACAATAGAGTTACATGACTAAAAAACATTGCGCGCCTAGCTACTGAACGTGATGACGAAGCCATAGAACGTGATGGTGCAGCTATTGAACGTGATGACGCGTGTGGTGTGGTTGGAAAAAATGCCTACTAATTCGGTCCAAATTTTAATTAATTCAAAAAATTTTTTGTGACAGAACGAAAGGATATTTTTGAAAACTTTCATCGGCAATATTGTTCTAAATTATGGCAGGAATCGATTGGTACATGTTTCAAGTCGCTAAGTGGTCTGGTTGCCGAGATATGGGCTAAAAACTGCTTTTTTTCGAGGTTTTTTGGCTTTTCCGGGAAATCCATGAAAGAAACCCGGAATTTTTATAGCCTATGTTCATCCTCGTAACTTGCTTAACATAATTGCTTTTGGAACTAGTCATCGATATTGCTTCGTTGAGGAGGAGATACGACTTAAAGCTGCGGACACACATCCATCCATTCATACATTCATACATTCATACATCCAGAAATGACGGGTTAATAAACGCAATTCTCCAGAATGGAAATTGCGCTAAAAAATGGAAGTAAAAAATAACCAAGAATAAATATAGGCATGTATTTTTAAAAAAAATATCCGAATTTCAACTAAAATTTCAAGGATAGAAATACCATTATTTCAGGGAGTTTGACGGTTTTAAACAAATTAAAATCAACGCACCAATTAAGCCCCCTCCCCCCCCCCCCCCCAAAAAAAATTATAAAATAAAATAAATGCAAAGTTAAATTTTGTTGGGTTTTTGAGGTAGGTCACCGAAGCATGCCATTACACGCCTGCCTTTGTTACGGACTGAAAGTAAATCGTGATACGTTTCTTTGTATCGGTACTAGACTCTAGTAGTTACCCATCACGCTTTGGGGACGACGGAAAACGGAGATGGGGGGGGGGGGAGGGACGACGCAGTGACGACTGCTGTGCGAGGAATGGTTTCTGTCATTCATAAAATGGGTAAAAAATACCAACTACCAGAACGTAGTAATCATGTCGACAACAACAGTGCTCAGCCGTCATGTTTTACACCCGTGTTTTCAAGTTGGGAACAAAAGTTGTGAAAAACGACAATAGTCGGGCTGTGGAGTAGCGTAAAGGGGGAGGGGCAGTGGTCCCATTAATTACCGGCTACCCGGTGATTGAAGTATCAGTGGATGGTGGGAGAGAGAGGCCGGGTGCTCGCGCGTTCAAAAAAAAAAAAATTAATCGCGTCAAGGTTAGAGTTTAGGTAATACGATGCTCTTTTGTGCGCGAGTGAGCAGGCGATGGAGTGGGAGGGGGTCTGGGAATTCCCGAAGAAAATAACAATAAGCAAGGTGTGTTGGGGTTTGGGAATTTAGTGTAAATATGAACCCTTTCGTTAAACATTACCCGCTAGATAGTGGCTAGAAGAGTAGACAATGTACCAGATATAAAATGACATGGCCAATATCGGGATCAAATAGCCGAGTTTTTGTCTGGAAATAATTTCGGGAATGAGTGACTGTCTTTATATTATAGATTTATCTATTGTTAACTACTTGTTATAATTATAAAACACAATTTTGAAATCTATCCAGGCCTTGACTAAAGCCCGCTCAACCCCCCCCCCCCCCCCTTAATCCGCCACTAGTTAGGTGAGTACTCTAAAAGTTGTAAGGTTAAAAAATACTTTAAAACTAAAATTAAACTGAACTTAAACTGTGCCACTGCTGTTATAAAATGCTCTCAAGACTTTCAAGTTCTCTTTTTTTCCAGGTGAATTAACAGTAGAGATGCCACGAAAACGAGTGATTTCAACTAGTGAGTTAAACAAATGATTCATGACAATCAGAGTAAACACACGCTGTCTAATGTAACTTCTAAGACAAGAACCCCAAGTAAAGTTAGCATAAAATATACTGTAGGATAATTATAGTTTTTATATCATTTGATATCTCTATAGAACTAATAGAAGTTACATACTAAATAAACCAAACCCCTGCCCATTTTTTAGAACTAACCAAAACAGTGGTTTGACTAAGCTAACTGTACCTTACCATTAACCTTGCACATGTACTGAATGTTTATCTTAACTGGCTAACAAATGCAACATAACACAGAAGCACACAACATCAAGCCTATATCAAGGAAAAAAATACTATTAAAATTGTAAACAACAAAACAGAAAACGTTTCCAAGCAAGGAGGTAGAGGGTTCTAGTTAAATTAAAAGGGGAAGTAACTTTTAAACAAAACAAAATCTGGTCATAATATTTGCATATCATGAGGTAGCATGTGATTGTTGTAAGAAAAAAATAATATGCAGTGTATATATAATAAAGAGGAATAAACACATTCAAATAAACATAAGACCAATCATCCTTATAATGATCATAATTTGCTTCAGATAACCAAATTTTATCCAGAACTTTATAAAGATTATTATGAGGTAGATAGCAAAAAAATTAAATTTAAAACTGAACATAATTATATTATTAGTAACCAGAAGTTGCTTAGCTTAGTATCATCTATAGACATAATCACAATCTTTCTGATGTTTAATATGTACATTGAATTTTCAAGTTCCTGAACTTTCAAAAAATAAAAAAGCTTGATAATTTGCTATTTGTTATGTTGACGAAAGATAAATAAACTTTTTCCTACTACTAAAATTAAAATTACTAATTAGTACTAATATTTAATTTCAGAATATTTGCATTTCAGCATTATTAAAATACAATTTATTTTGAATTGAATTTTTGAACAAACCATTGTATTTTTGAAAGAGAAATTTATAAGGTTCATTGGTAAGCAATTAAAAAATCAAGAGTTAAATTAAACCTCACCATCTAAGACAAAATTAAATTATAAACAGCAATAAATCAAGCAGAAATTAAATTTTCAAGTATAAGCAAAGAGGTTTCATATTGATAATAAGTCAGATAATAAAAGTTTGTTAAAACTGTATATCAACATTTTTATGAGGTCATTTTTCCATTATATAGTGGATAACACAGGATAAGTTATGCTTTATAACACGGAGGTCACATTGTTTCAGAGTGGGTTTTTCTGACGGAACCGCAGTTTTGTTTCATGTTATATGGAGATATTAGCTGAGTTCATGTAACAATGGAATTTTCATCAAGCTAAAATAAACCAAGTTTAATTTATTTTTGAAAAAAAAAAATGTAATTAATTAATGTAAATTGCAACATTAGAAAAAAAACATTCCAGATGAAATTTAAATATAATTTAATTTTTTTTGCATCAGATGAAATAAAAAGATGAGGCAATGTTTTATATTTTCACTTGAATACAGCAATGTGAAAATGATACAATATAAAGTTTCAAAAAATGTATCAAAAGTGAGGTACACATTGGTAAAGAAAGGGGAGATAAGCTGATTATTTCAATAACCTCCCCTGATAAATTTAATAAGAAAAAAAAAATTCCTGAAGTTTATGAATAAAATTAACATGTTAGACACTATAAATGTAGTGTAGTTCTCTCCTGCACTGTGCTAACAACAGCAACATTTAGAATGAGAATTATAGACAATCAGTATGATGTGAGAAGACAAGCAGAGTGGTAGCAGAAATAACAAGAATACTTCTCTTAGTGGTAGCAGTTGTTAACATGAATACTTCTTGTTTCTCCTCCATCTTCAAATCTCATCTTGAACAAAAACTTTTCTCAGCTTTCAATAATGTTAACATGATATTCATTAAAGATATCTCCATTGTCTCCCTTGATGGTGTATTTTCAAATCTGTTCCTTCCATTGTGACTCAGTGGCATGATAATATGGGAGGTAACTCTCTTCCCTGTTACTTCTTTCATCCTACAGTAATCCCAGTCTGTTAAGTCTTGGGGTTACTGGAGACGAGAGCCAAATTATTCAAGTCATGTTTTGGTTTCACTTTTTATCATCAATTTATCATTAGGCTTATGGTGGTTTTTGAGCCAGATGCTATGCTGGATTTCTATTTTTAGTAGTGCAAAAAAAAAAGTACTTAATATGGAAAATATATTGGCCTACTTATGTTCACCTCTAAACCCTGAAAAAATGTCTGAAGGAAACCCTGGGTGTGTATAAAAAGACCTATGTTTGAATTAAATAAAAAAAGACGCCGTTTATTATTTTATTTTTTTTCTTCTTCTTCTTCTTCGTTCTTAATTATTAGTGTTGAAGGGGATCGAGATTTATCTGCCAGTGGGTTTGAACTCGAGACTTTGTTCGAATTTATCAACCATGAGCTTTTTGCCGACTCGACCACGCCTCCAACACAATTAAGCGTTACGTGTCAACTATTTATGCGCCATTGAGGCCATTGACTCCGATTTCAGCCTGCTTTTCTTTTTGGATTTGCTTCCATAGCCTTTGTCCAACCAAGAACAAACTACAAGGCAGCAGTTGTTTAATTTTGGAGTTGTCTCTCCTAGAAGAGTGGCTGTCCCCAGCTAACGAGCCTCATCTGCCCGAGGGTTTTTATATACTTCAATTTCAGTGTCAACATTTTTTATTATGTATATTTGGCATCCACTAGACTCTTCTAACTCCATTTTTTCCCTTTTATTTTTAAGATTTCTACACCATTTTGTTCTTAATCCACCTAAGTGTCACAGCGAAAAAATTGTTTTCGTCAGATCTATAATCAGTATCACAAAGAATTTAATTTCACTGAGTACTTGATAAAGAAATGTAAAGCAAAACACAAGTTTAAAGCATTGTTGTGAACATTTTTGAAAATTAAAATTAGAACAGTCTGGTTCTGGGAAAATGATGAGTTAGGAGATGTTTTCAAGAAACTGATGTGTTGTACAATAGCGCAACACATTTCATTTGAACACAATAAAATGATGCATACATGGAGACTGGAAGAGGACATTGTGTTTGGTTTTATTTCAATTTCCCAACAAGAAAGAGGCAGAGGCGTAAGCACATAAGCAGGAATTGGTCATGGTGGAGGTGGGAGGGGGTGGGGTGTTAAAAAATAGTCTTCTCTTAATTACGTATAAATTCAATAAAGTTTTTAATTTTAAGTATGTGAAATTGTGGTTATATTACATTAGAAATATTGAACTTGTAAATATTGAAAGTGACAAAAGTGCACAATCGCCAACAGCTTAACTTATTATAAGAAATCTAATAATTTTGGAGTACAAGGGATGGAGAAGGGCGTGGGGGGGTTCTAATCTTCAAAAAACAAAGTAAGAAAATAAAAACTTACAATCAAGGAGATGAAAGGAATCCTTCTCTAAACGGGGTGTAGTTGGGTATAGTGTGGGGGTACTTGACGTGCCAGACAGTGTGGAACATGAACTCGATCTTGTCCTGACAGTGAGTCCCACACGACGGGCAGCGGAAAGGGTGGTCCTCGTACGGCATGTGGAGGCTCTCATGCAGGTGGAACATGGTGTAGTCGTAGAAGAAGATGTTGCAGTGCTGGCAGTGGTGTATCCCGCCACTGTCGGCGGTGGGCGTGGCCGAGGTAGTTGTGACGTCTCGCTTGCCGGGTTCCGATTCCGACTCGGCTCCGACTGAGGTAGGTGTTTTAGGAGGGGGCATGACCATGACGGATACCTCTTTGTCCACAGAGGAAGAGGCAGTGCTAGATGCTCTAGAAGGGGGTGAGTTTGAAGATTTGTTCATGCTGAGGTCCATGACGGAATCACAAGGGTACGACTTGTGGTGGTCTTCTTCTATAGATCGCGACGGCGCCGCGCTCTGAGACTCAATTTCACGCGACCTGTGTTTATGGACTGGGTGGTGGTAGTCGACCGGACTTGTCTGCCCCTGAATGCTGTCCCTTTTGTGGTCCATGGAGTTCTCACAGTTGTAGTCCATGCTTGAGTTTTCCTCCCTGCGTGACGATTCCATTTCATGATCGCCCTCCCTATCACGATCAAACTCCCGCGTCTCTTCCTCCCTGGAGAGACGGCGGAAATCCTCAACTTCTCTACTTCTCCTCCCTTGGTCTATCTCCTTCTCTCTCTCTGTCATTCCCTGAGGTGAGATGGGTGGCGAGGTGTGGCGTGAGGTAATTGGTCCGTTGTTGGAGGTGTTGTTGTTGTTGCTGGTGCTGCTGTTGTTGTTGTTGTGGTGCTGATGGTGAAAGATGATCATCTCCTGAGTTAGCCTGAGGTTCGAATGAGGTAGGTTGTGACCATCGCTGAGATGGGAATGAGGTCGGTGACCTGGATGATGGCGAGCCCCCAAAGGCATGGACTGCAGACCATCTATAGGTCTTTGCATGGGCCTGAAACTACTGAACGACGGCAAGGATCCAGCACGGCTATGCGGAAGTTCCATCCCTTCGCTCTGTAAACAGAAAAAAAAATGTATTAAATTAGAAGGCTTATAAACATTCATTACAAATAGTATAAATTACACGCAAACATTAATTTTTTTCTACATGTTGGATAAAATATTTATATTTATATATCCCCTGAAGCCACAGTTCCATGCACAAATACTCTTGATAAAGGAATACAAGAAGGACAGCATGCAACAAGTCCGTATACAACCATTTTATTTCTCATGCTTAAGGAATCCTACAGAAAACGCATGCCATTATTTACATAAGCAACAGGGGTACTTGCTGACAATGTCAGCCTTTTTGAATACTAGAACTATTTTAACGACAGGTCTCTGGGTGTTGAGACCTGCGGAGTGGATCCTCACCTTAACTACCTGGGAGTAATGGCTGGGCAAGTGAGCCGGGGGTGATTGGATGACCCCCAGTGGCATAGAGCTTAGAGAATTGGCCCTCACTGGGGAGTGCAGGGCCTCATGATTGTGAGGGGACCCGCGGCTCATGGCCCTTTTCTCATGACCGCCCCCCTCCATTTCACTTGGTGTTGAAGGAGGAGTCACCTGAAAATGGACGGAAATATTTACCACACTGGGCTTATCTGGGGAAACAAGTTATTAGGGAACAGAGTATTTATGTGCACTGAAGTAGCTTGAACTCCTGAACCACTTTCTACAACATCTTTGAGAATTAGCTCCAGACTTCCCAGTTCTCATACAAAAAAAGTTGAACTTTTATAACAATCACCTGTTCAAGCTTAAGTGGACTTCTCGGGGAGGACGCAGGGTCAGGTGGACGGGGTCCACCCATCGGTGCCGTGCCGGTTCCTCCCATTCCCTGAGTATGGTGAAACAGTTGAGCAGCTTGGCCGCTCCCAACAGCTGCCTTCTGCAGGTAGGACTCGTAGGTGAGCGCCTGTTGGAGCAGAGCCCTTTGCTGCATGGCGAAAGCTTGGTAAGCAGCTAGGTTGACCTGTTGAGAATCATTCTGAATGTAAGAGAGAAGGAAATGTTAATGGCATGAAATGCTGGGGTAACAACAGAACAAATGTACGTGCTACAGCAGTTGGAATGGAAAAATGTACAAAGATAGACCAATGGTTAAGTGGTACAGAATGTATAAAGAAAGGAAATGTAGGCCTATGTGATCTTAACAAAGGTAAATAATATCGAATGTAGAGTGCAATATGGTGTTTTTATAGAATAATGATATGATGGTAAATTTAATGGCCGTTTAAGGCAATGTTTTATATAATAAAATGCTGCAAGCATTACTATAGTAAGTGCGTATGACAAATTACATACATACACACACACACACATTATATATATATATATATATATATATATATATATATATATATATATATATATATATATATATGTCCATGGTCTATCCACTGCACACCTGGTAGACTTGCACAATAACACTTCAAAAACAATTTTGGCACCCATATATTCTTATGATCCTTGAACTGAAATAGGTCGACAAACACTATAGATATTCTATCACCCTAACTAACCTTTGTGACCTCAAGTGTCTTTTCGCTTGCATCTCCCCCCCCCCCCCCCCCCCCCACACACCACCTCCCCTCCACCTCTTATCCTTCCCGCATGGTTTAAATTATGCATGTTTACATTTTAATATAAACCGCCATCATACATCGGTGGTGTCATTGCCCCGGTGGTGTTAGGTGTTATTGCTTCTACTGTTAGACACCCAAAACGCTGCGTGCTCACGTGTCACACATTCAATGACGTGGGCACCATCGCCATCTTGCTGCCCTTATAGTCCAAAATACAACTCTTTGATCATCAGGTGGCACCACTCACCTGGCTACTGTGTCGGCCAGCTGTTTTGTACCCGTAGATTTTCCCCCGCATGTGAACGTTGCGCTCGTGACGTCGCAGATCGTTCGACTGCGTGAAACAGCGGTGACAAATTTTACATTTGTACGGCCGCTCACCCGTGTGGACACGTTCGTGGACCTGTGGAGGGGAAGGTCGCAAAGTTAAACACAACGGACAAGGTCTATTCAAGGTCTGTAAGGGGACGTAAGTCATGAACCATTCAAGGTCTGTAAGGGGACGTAAGTCATGAACCATTCAAGGTCTGTAAGGGGACGTAAGTCATGAACCATTCAAGGTCTGTAAGGGGACGTAAGTCATAAACCATTCAAGCTCTGTAAGGGGACGTAAGGGATATATCACTCAAGGTCTGCAAGGGGACGTAAGTCATAACCATTCAAGGTCTGCAAGGGGACCTAAGTCATGAACTATTCAAGGTATGTAAGGGGACGTAAGTCATAAACCATTCAAGCTCTGTAAGGGGGCGTAAGGGATATATCACTCAAGTTCTGCAAGGGGACGTAAGTCATGAACCATTCAATGTATGTAAGGGGACGTAAGTCATAAACCATTCAAGCTCTGTAAGGGGACGTAAGGGATATATCACTCAAGGTCTGCAAGGGGACGTAAGTCATGAACCATTCAATGTCTGTAAGGGGACCTAAGTCATGAACCATTCAAGGTCTATAAGGGGACGTAAGTCAGAGACCACTCTGGGAACTTGACTCACGACTCCAACCTGGATAAAAGCCTGTTCCAAGGTTACACTACAACCACGTTCACTTAATGTCGGGGGGGGGGGATAGGGGGGGGGGGGGGGGAATGGTACTCACTTTAAGGTTGGATGACCACAGGAACGACTTGCCGCACGTGTTGCAGACGTAGGGCCGGTCTGCCCGATGGAGCTGCTCGTGCTTACGTAACGTGGCAATCTCCCGAAACGACCTCTGGCAGACCTCACACCTGTGTGGCCTGGGCCCATTGGAGGGGGGCGCCACTTTGAGTTTCGTCTCCTCCATTGCTGGAAACACAAAGAAAATAAATAATTATTAATTTTTTTTAGTGTCATTTGTATGAAGTTTCTAATAGAGAGGGTGGGGCTGTTGTATGATGTCTTATGTTGTATGATGTCTTATGTTGTATGATGTCTTATGTTGTATGATGTCTTATGTTGTATGATGTCTTATGTTGTATGATGTCTTATGGTGTATGATGTCTTATGTTATATGTCATATGTTGTATGATGTCTTATGTTGTATGATGTCTTATGTTGTATGATGTCGTATGTTGTATGATGTATTATGTTGTATGATGTCTTATGTTGTATGATGTCTTATGTTGTATGATGTCTTATGGTGTATGATGTCTTATGTTGTATGATGTCTTATGTTGTATGATGTCTTATGTTGTATGATGTCGTATGTTGTATGATGTATTATGTTGTATGATGTCTTATGTTGTATGATGTCTTATGTTGTATGATGTCTTATGGTGTATGATGTCTTATGTTGTATGATGTCTTATGTTGTATGATGTCTTATGTTGTATGATGTCTTATGTTGTATGATGTCTTATGTTGTATGATGTCTTATGTTGTATGATGTCTTATGTTGTATGATGTCTTATGTTGTATGATGTCTTGTGTTGTATGATGTCATATGTTGTATAATGTCTTATGGTGTATGTTGTCTTATGTTGTATGATGTCTTATGTTGTATGATGTCTTATGTTGTATGATGTCTTATGTTGTATGATGTCTTATGTTGTATGATGTCTTATGTTGTATGATGTCTTATGTTGTATGATGTCTTATGTTGTATGATGTCATATGTTTTATGATGTCTTATGTTGTATGATGTCTTATGTTGTATGATGTCTTATGTTGTATGATGTCTTGTGTTGTATGATGTCATATGTTGTATAATGTCTTATGTTGTATGATGTCTTATGTTGTATGATGTCTTATGTTGTATGATGTCTTATGTTGTATGATGTCTTATGGTGTATGATGTCTTATGGTGTATGATGTCTTATGTTGTATGATGTCTTATGGTGTATGATGTCTTATGGTGTATGTCTTATTTTAGTGCAGGCCTACTCCATTGCAGTACATTTTTCTCAACTTTTAACATTATCACAGTCAAGTTTGTGGAACGACGTGGTTGGGTAGTAGAGCGTACGACTGCTAACCCGAAAGTCTCGAGTTCAAATCCAGGACTCGAGCCCGTATGACGTCCCGTCCCTGAGCCCACCCAGTCCTGATGTGTACCTGACTCACTTGGGGAAATAAAGGGGGCATAGGGCTGACCACACTATCCTTCCATGTGCTAATGTCACTGAAACTCTACTTCACCTGCTCCATGGACAGTCAGTTTCGAAAGTTTACTTTTTTTTACCATGAAGCTTAATTAGAGGGTAGGGGTGGATCGAGTCCACAACGGAAACAAATATTAATGTAAAAACAAATTAAATAAATAATCACTAAGAAGTTAATTAAGTCAACTTTAAAAAACTTTTAATCAAAAGTAAGATATAAATCAAGAAACAAGACCGGTGGTTTTAATAAGAAATACTGAAACGAGACACATAAATGTTGCCTGAAGAAATGTTTATCTTACTGATAATTGTTTCGTTAAGTCAACAAAACTCGGATCATACACGCAGCTAAGCGTCGTTGCGTCTTTCTTTACAGAGAGTAGTATTAAAGACGTTTACTTGCAAGTAGGCCTACTGTTTTATTTATGGTGCGGATTTCCAAATGTTTTTTTTTTAATTTAGTATATTTAATTAGAAAGAATATTAGTAAACTCGGATAAGCTTGATGAACAATAATTAACTTAAAAATGATTTAGACTTTTGTGAAGAAAAGTGATTTTTGTTTTAATTCCAAGAAAATCACCATTTGTATTTTAATTAAGTAAAAAACAAGGAAGATACAAAAAAAAAAGAAAACTTTTAGTTTAACATTTAATAAAAATCGATTGTCAGGCAGTGTCCAGCCTCACAGACATTTCGTTTTTCTCATTTAAAATAAAAACATAATTTGTTGATAGCCGAGTTTTAACATTATCAGATTTCTCAGTTAAAACCCGCTCCGCCAGGAGATCATTAGTTAAAGAGACGATGCCTACTGCCTCGTTTGGTACCAGGGACTCCACTTCAATCAAATTCCGAGTTTTTAATACGTCGGTTGATCTTCAACCACAAGTCAGTCAAACACACATTTTAATTGTTGGTCTTATTTTTTTAATTTATTTTTTTTTATTTAAGGAAAATAATCTTAATTGAGATAATAGTTAAATGTAGCCATCTGCCTAAATCAATTAGATAATCTTAAACGCGTTGCGAAAATCTATGATTAAGAATATACGCAAATCTAATATTATAATTATTTCAAATTAAAACGAGTTTGCTTAAAACGTGACTTGAATGAGACAGGTTAGGAATTAGACTTTCTAAAATAAACGTGTCGCATTTCAAATAATCTGATCCGTGGGTTAATTTTGCCTTGTTAAATATTCAAACTCGGGGGTCTGACAAAATTTAACTTTAATAAGCTGTGATGATGAGGAAAAATTGAGGAAAAATTTGTTTTATGTACAATCGTACTTTCTGTTGTTTTTTTTTACTTCGTCCATTTAAGACGATTAGTGTTCAGCTACTAGTCTGTATGTCTCGTGTGCGTATAATATGCTGGGACTGTAGGACGTCACTGAGTCCACCCAGCTGTAACTCACGTTGGGGAAAGTAAAGGCGGCTGGGCAAAGTGCTGACCACACCAATACTTCTTATACCGATGTCAAGAACTCTACTTCATCTGCCCTATGGTCGTTAGGTTGAAAGGGGAGCTTACTTGAGCTGTTTTTCGTCAGGTAGCTAATTTACCAGGTACGTTCAAAACCTAATCTTTTGCACGGGATAGAAAACTCTTTTCAAACAACTTACTTACTACCAACACCCCCCCCCCCCCCCACACACACACACACACAAACACATCCGTAGATCCTTAGCTCTGGTAGTTTTCAAAATATATAAAAATTTACATACATTTCTAATCAAATTTGTTCACAAACAAACATCAACATAAAATCGTGTTTTTCACATCAGATATATCCGACATTTTTAATTATAATTTTATTTTACATATTACGAACAGCTCTCTATATAAACAACATCAGATAACATTTGTTGAGATAAAAAGTTCCGATATCTGTATTCAAAAATGACAACGCCTTCGTAATTTTTAAATTTTATTTTATTTTCTAAGCCCTCTGAAGACAATTAAGCACGATCTAGACCAATCTAATGTAAACAGATATAATTACAGAAGATACGATTCGGAAGGATTATTTAGCAATTTAATCAACATTGTAAAAGTTCTCCCTGTGTTCATTATTATGATTGTAATTGCTGTAATTAATTGTGCTGAATGTGTTCATACAAGTATGTCTTGATGCTTTGTCAGCTAACATTGTGGTTATGGAGGCGCTATCATACCTTTATTACTGTTATAAAATTAATTTGTTAGACAAATGATACGTCTCTTAGCCTGGTTAATTGCTTTGTTTTATTCCAGATCGTTTTACTAATTGTTTCGTCTTGAAGCTTCTGGTTTCGCAAAGTTTTTAATTTTTTTTTTCCGGTCCATTTTTTAAGTAAGCTTTGTATGAAAAAAATTTGGGTTTTACAATTGTTTGAAGTTAAAAGGAGTGCGGGGAGGGAGGGGGGGGGGTTCTACATGTCAGAAGTCATCGGAATACGTTAATCCAAACAACCGCTACCCTACACGTTAATCCTATCAACTGATAACATGGAACGTTAATCCTATCAACTACCATCCTACACGTTAATCCCAACAAAAGCTAACCTATACGTTAATCCTAACAAACGCTAATCTGCACGTTATCCCAAGAAACGCCAACCTAGACATTAATCCCAACAAACGCTAACCTACATTTAATCCAAGAAGATTAAGAATGTTAAGAACAAAGAAACTTAAAATAGCAATCTACGTTTCCGCAAATTGAGTCAAGCGGAAGTCTGAATTTGACCGATACCTTTGCACCAATGGTCACTCTAAGCTGCGCAGCATGCTTGAACCTGCCGCGCAGTCATTTTGTTACATACATGTATCCTTGTATAAGACTATCAGAACACCGCGCAAACTAGATACACGTTGAACACTACTTAACTCCACTTAAGGTGAACGTTAATTGGCACTGATTCCATTGAATAACCTTCCTAAAGAGACGCCACTTTACCACCCAATTCATCGACTTCATTAAATTATATTAAAATAATAATTAAAAAAACAGGTAAATTTCTAAATAATTTAACAAATTGTAATAACTGTGTTTTTAAGAGCTTGTCACTTCTTAGTGTGAATCTTTACCTTTTTAATTACGGTAAAAATACGTTCTTATCCGTGGACAACTAGGTACAGCAGAATTAATTAGTAAAATAATTAGACAGTCTTTGTCTTCATGGACACTAACATTTTGAGAAAGGATTGTTAAAAATATACACACACGTCAATCATATATTTGTATTTAGACTTTCACGGAAGTTTTATAATTTAATGAATCAGTTAAATTTGGTCAGATTTTTTCTGATGGTCTGAAGTAATGAGTTCTTCTTGTAGCCTAAGGGAATCTTGCTTTGTTCTTTCTTGTATAATAATAATAGCTATCTAATGACATGGACAATGGTATAGTCTGATTCTGTCCCCATCTAGTAGGCCTATGTATAATTGGTATCTTGTTCGTAGGTTGATTTTTTTTTTCCTTTTTTTTTCGGGAAAAGTATACAGCTCCCGTCCCGTGGGCCAATTTGAACCCTACCCCGGGGGTCTGTTGGTGAGTGCGCTGGGTACTTAACTGGCTTTGTCTACTGGCGTTGTGGTCGGTGCTGTTTTGATTGTACTCTAAGGGTAGGTGCTGTTGGATTTATATTGGTTTAAGATCAGGAATAGTTAACTTTAGCTTGGGTCAACTTTAGCTTGGGTCAACTTTAGCTTGGGTCAACTTTAGCTTGGGTCAACTTTAGATTGGGCCAACTTTAGATTGGGTCAACTTTAGATTGGGTCAACTTTAGATTGGGCCAACTTTAGATTGGGCCAACTTTAGATTGGGCCAACTTTAGATTGGGCCAACTTTAGATTGGGCCAACTTTAGATTGGGTCAACTTTAGACTGGGCCAACTTTAGATTGGGCCAACTTTAGATTGGGCCAACTTTAGATTGGGCCAACTTTAGATTGGGCCAACTTTAGATTGGGTCAACTTTAGATTGGGCCAACTTTAGATTGGGCCAACTTTAGATTGGGCCAACTTTAGATTGGGTCAACTTTAGATTGGGTCAACTTTAGCTTGGAATAAATTTAGATTGGGTTGACTTTAGATTCGGTTAACTTAAGATGCTAGGTGAATGTCTTACATACATTTTAGAACTCCAAAACGTTGTGTGTCGTACAGCGCATGATTGCTAACACTGAAGTCCCGAGTTCGAGTCTACCTACCTATGATCAGCGTTATTGATTGTGAACGTTTAAAAAAATAAGCAGCTCTACAGTAAATGGAATACAACTAGCTATATTTAATACTTAAATACATAATTTTAATTTTCTTTTTTTAAATACAGAATATCAACTGTGATCGACACAGCAATAGCTGTATTTGGTACGAAATTTAATTCATACCTATTGCAGTCAATTGATAAAGCTGATTAAAAATATGGATTCTTCTTTATGTAAAGTTTAACCAACCACAGGTTGTCAATGTATAGCGGCACAGTGTGTGTGTGTGGGGGGGGGGGGGGTAGCGGGTAGGTAATTATTTAGCATCGTTAATAATATGTCTTTGAAGATCTAATAATTAACTTTGAAAAAAAAAACGCACATGTAACTATTATGTCCTTTAATAACGGGATATCAAGGCAGTGAAACGGTGTTTTTTTTTTAAAATAGTAATTAGTTAAGCGCTTTTAATTAGGATTTTACATTTGTATGACACGGGTCAGTAACCTTAGCTAGTAATAGGTTGGATCCATTTTTTATAAAACCTTCCATCAGGTAAAATCTTTACGCATGTTTCACGTCAAGAGCCATGAGCCAAAGGTTGAATGGCATAGGGGCAAGAAATATTAAATTCTAATTCAAAATTAAACAGAAAAGCTTAACTTTTTAACCTCCCAAACGTATTATTTTTTTACATTTGGTAGTATTACATTTTTTTCTTTTCTTGGCAAGTGAAGTAGATTTCGCCTATTTCTGTGACATCGGCATATGAAGGGATAGCCGTAATTATTTTATTATTATTTTTTTTTTACTTTTGCAAGTCAAAAAGATTCGTAGCAAAAAATATCTTTTAAAATGAGATAAAAAGTGAATCCAACATGTCTTGAATTTTTTGGGAAAATGATTATATGTAGTTTTTAAACAAATAAATAGTAAAAAAAAAAAAAAAACCAATTGCACTATATAATAAATTAATGTCCCCCTCCCCTAATTACCTCCCCCCCCCCCCAACCCCACCTTAACAGTATTACAAATGAGTTAACTACTGTAAAGAGGGGGGGGGGTGTGATTAAATACCATCATGTACTAACAGCTATTATACAAGTCAGATAAAAGATGTAGGTTGATTCATAAGACAAATTCAGATTTTACCTGTAGGATACACCTCTTTCTTATCTGATCACTATAGTCCAATGTAGAATATTATAACAACATAAGGATAACTGTATAATAATAATAAACTACCATCACTGACGTAATTGGTTAAACAATTAGTAGAAACGTAGTTTACGAGTTTCTTCATTACTCCTTGTTAGATTAAAAAAAAAACAGTACTAAAAAAAAACCGTGACCGAAAAACAGTAGAGAACACACTATCAGCACGCGTGCGCACTCGACACACCCGCAGATAAACATTTGATCAGAACGTCAGCATGTCTCCCAACACGCCGACCCCGTCCACATCACAGTAAACACAGTCTTGCGCACCAAAAAAAAAAAAAAAATGTGTGTTTCAACAACAACAGTTGCCACCACCCATTGCTCTTACTAAACTAGGTCAGTAGGTCGACAGAACATGACCGCAGCTAGGGACTAACATATTCAGCCGCATGCTACCGATGGTAAGTACTAAAAGGGGGCGGGGATAAACCCGGCGGGAGGGTGGGGGGATACAGGGATAGGGGAGATACTGAAACAAAAAAAGAAGAGCATAACAAACGTGCGCTTACATTAGAGGTATGCAGGGGGGGTGGGGGAGGGGGTGATAACTGACTTGACTAACGGATCAATAGAAGGGGTCTGGTATAACCCGAATCATTTTAGTCAGCGTCGGGCAATACCGTGGTAATGGGGGGGGGGGGGGGGGGGGGGTAAACGGTGTTTGAGGAAAGGGGGGGGGGGGGGTAAATCTTCCAGGTTACAACATGCGAGGTAACTCGCGCATTTAGGACAAGGGGAATAACAGGGGGAGAAGTAGTGAGGGGGGGGGGGGGGGTTCGCATGGTGGTGCAACGGTCCAGGAAACTATTTATAAAACATAAGCGGAGTGTAGTTTCGGGGTTTAGTTTTTAAGTAACGTCATTGTTCAAGTCTGTGTGACGATTGTTATGGCGTTTAACTCTAGAAAATGACTGGTAAAGGTGTGCTATGGTGTTAAGACACACAACTGCTGGTAGTTTATGTGGGGAGGGGGGGGGGGAGGAGAGGGACAGAAAATCTGCAAGGACATTTTTTTTTTGGTTCACCACATGCAGAAATCGCCGCATGCTGTAAAGTAATTCAACACGCCTCAGCAGCCAATAAGTTACCCGAGTAACTAGAAAGTGGACGGGTTAGATTTAAAGAGCGAAGTTGCTGGTAAAAGTTGAATTTAAATTCAGAGAAAAATTGATCCTTTAAAAAAAAAATATGCTTCTTCTAAAAATGTTAGCTAAGTTAACTTTATCACTCACACACATCATTTTATTAAAGACCCCACTCAACAACACACACGCATTTAATTAAGACCTCCGCCGAATCAATATACTTAAACCCTCCCCCCTACACACAATTTTACTTAAGACCCCTACATCACTTTACTTAAGACCCCCCCCCCCCCCCCCAAACAGACACGGCTTTAATTAAGACCTCCGCCACAATATTCAAGACCCCCTCACCTCACACTGCCTTTCTAATATAACCTCCCTCCCCTCCCCCTCACGGCATCACTTATATAATCTCTTTGCAAAACCAGTGGTGTGTGAGGGTTCCGAACACCGAGCCTCTCCCTGGAACGGCTGTATTGTATACCACATCCAACCATTCAAAGACCCCCCCCCCCCATCACACAATGTCAAAAAAAAAAAGACAACCATTTCGGTTAAAAATAACCAAATTTTATAATTAAAATACCCTAAAGAAACAATAATCCCCGTTAATCTTGCACCAGCTTGGGAGATCCTATCAGGAATTAAGGTCAGGATGGAAGCTAAGGGACAGAACTTGTATTAAACCCATAAATGAATGAAGCGGTAACGCAATACAAGGGAAACAATCAAACTACAATGGTACATCTTGCCCTAAATAAGAATCTAACGATATTATGTAAAAATTATATTGTAGTTATGTGGAGACTTAATGTTGTAATGTTGATCTGTATACTTTGATAAAAATTAGATTACAATGAACATTAGGTAACCATAATTATTATTTTTTTGTGTGCGCTAACGATGTTTTTTTTTTAAATCAAAAGTGTACTAGTTATAGTAAAACACATTATTTATAAATAAAACAAATATTAGACAAAAAAATTGTAATTTTGTTTTATATGTTTCGATTATTTTGAAAATATTGAAACAATAACCGATTATAGAAATAGTCTACGTCAGGGGTCGGCAACCTTTTGAAGCGGAAGAGCCAGAAGTTACAATTTTCAAAATTTCCCTGGTTTTAAAGAGCCACTAACATTTTTAAAGTTCAAATATTTTATTTTTTTATTAAGAATATTGGTATTTGTTCAAGGAGCTGGAGAGCCGCATCTTGATATCAAAAGAGCCGCATGCGGCTCGCGAGCCGCAGGTTGCCGACCCCTGGCCTACGTATACATGTAATGCAAAGAAAGATATTTTTTTAAAGGTATGATAATCTAATTGCTTTATCGACATGCTTCGACTGAATGTATCAAGTTATTACTTGAAAGTATCGATATATTCACACCAACCATAATACCGATAACCTAATAGTAGATGCAGATCGTGGCATTTAGACAACCCGTGTTTTCACGATCGAGCTAAGTCCAAAATTATATTACTGTTTTTTTTTTGTATAGTCTTTAACAACACTGTTGTGTGCTGACGTAGACCTTGAATAGAAACGTCCTAAGTTACTGTAACTATCTTTTAACTTGTGAGGTAACTAACACTATCTTTTTTTATCACTAATACTAACCATAACATTGCCGGTGGGGGAAGAAAACACAAGTCCCTAAAATCACAGAAACGAGTGTCCTAAAACAAGATTTTTAACAAGTCATTGAACCCCGTTACAAATCAACCCAGTAGCCTATACACGACGCGTAAAAACGATTTTTATTTATCTTCCAATAAGATAAGATTGTTCAAAGATTTAGTTTTGAAAAACCAGAACAATAAAATAATTCAGTTGATTTAATAGTATAACTTACAAGAAAACTCAACCATCCGTTCGATAACTTTTTTAGGTTAATAGCTGCTCAGCCTAACCTTGCGGATACGGTTTGAAGATTTCGTGTTGGATTTGTTAAACAGCTTTGCTGTGGTATCACCGTGCAATACCAACGTCAGGTATGATTTTAGGTGGGCCCAGATGGGTCCATAAAAATCATAGCTTCAGTCCAGAATTTTTATCTGAGCGCTGACCAGTTAGTAGACCGATAGCCTCTACTCATCAACACATTATTTGCGGCGTTACATAAAAAACAAAACAACCACAGTGAACTCAGGCAGAGGCTTGAAGTTTAAATTTGTGCTAAAGTGGATTTTTCAAAATGGCGATGCAAATGTTTAAACTAGTAAAAAAAACCCTCGAAAAATGGGGACCGCTAAAAATAAATATCACATAAACGTAGATTAAAATCTAATAACATAAAATAAAATAAAAATAAATAGCGGTATTACCGTACGTTTAATTAATTAATTACATAACAAATCAACACTGTAATTCGTACAAATAATTGCCGGTGTTTATATTACTTTAAAAAAATATTTGCAATACCAAATTTGTCGTGGACATCTAGATTACCTAAATCATAACATGAGATTCTATTATTTATTAACAACTATAACCTTCTTTTTAAAATGGCTTCTTTAATCACCAACGCTGTCGCGAGTACCTTAAAGATAAGCTAAAGTATAGCTTGTATCATGTATCGTTCATGTAGGTCGCTATGGAGAGATAAAGAGTACGTGTGGGTGTGAGAGGGGGTGGGGAGCAGTTGATATATTTGAGGTGAGGGGTGGGTGTGTGTGTGGGGGGGGGGGTATGAATGAGTCGGGTTTAGGACGGCGTGGTCGAGTGGGAGAGCGCATGATTGCTAACTTCAAAAGTCCCGAGTTCAAAACCCGGGCAGATGAGGCTTCTAGGATGAGTGCAGCAACCCATTTAGTAGAGAAAACTCAAAAAATAAAAAAAAATAATAAGAAGAAATAAAATCAAACAACTGCTGCCTTGGTGTGTCTGTTCTTGGTTGGACAAAGGCTATGGAAGCAAATCCAGAAAGAAAAGCAGGCTGAAGTCGGAGTCAACGGGCCGTATGGCACCTGTAATTGTGTTACAATCAAGAATGAGATGTCTTTAAGGGGACGGAAGAACTGAGCCTTGCAAACATTTCTTACTTAGATATTCCCAACACGGCCGCATCGTAGTGAAGCTGGTACCGTTACCTTAACCATGACCTACATCTAATCCTAGTCCTTAACTCGACCCTTAGCCGCAAAACTGACCTGCTACTCATTAACCTTGACCCTAATTGAGATACAGAAAACACAAAGAAATAAAATTACCTCTCTGAATCTAAACATCACTCAGTAACAACGGAATAATCCTAATCCCCATTTAATTAAACGTACGCTAAAAAACTTATTTATCAATTCGTTTTTCTATTTAAAAAAAAAAAAAAAAACTTTTTCGAAACACTCTTTAGAACAGCAACTTATTATTACCCTCATGTAAAATAATACATTGTTTTTTATTTAACAACAAAGACCGTGTGTTCTACATAAGCGACGGTACGGCGCCATTTGACCCACTTACGCATCACCCACGGGCCAAGGAATGCTCTGTTTATTTTCAACATGCAAATTTTAATATAACCACAGCGGATCTCATTTCATGCCACTTATGTATAAGATTTTTTTGTGTTTAAAGGTAATCGTTGGCAATTATCCTAACAATGGAAAGAAGAAAAAATATCTATAGACAGTACCTAACGTAACAACATATTATTAAATATTACATTTACAGGCCGCATACTACTATTCTACAATTTTAACGACAAGCTTCCCCGTATTTAACTTGTTAGCCGGTGATAAATCACACCAATCACCGCCCTTTGTTTCAGAGAATTATTTCCCCTACTTAATTTTTTCTTAGTCTATGAAAAGAAGTTCACAACATAAAATAATAACTAAAAAATGCTCATTGGAAATAAGTTGTGATTTTTTTTTTAAAACAGTTTTTTTTTGTGTGTGCTGTCGTGTTTTACTCGTCTACAGAGCCCTTAC